CCCCCACCCCCCCCCCCCAACCCTGGGTGCCACAGGGCTGGTGGCACAGGAGAAAACTACCTGCCCTGTAAGGTGGAGAATGGAGAGGAGTTGGTCCAGAGTTGCCATGGCAGCTGTCAGTAGGAGCCAGCCCTTGCCTGGCCTGGGGACAGGACAGAGAAGGCAGGCTGCCTGCTGCACATAGCAAGTAGCCTGCCTACCCCTGCGGAGGGAGTGGAAATGCAGGGCTTAGCCAGTGGCCACCTGTGGCAGGGCCTGCCCGACCAACTTACCATGGTCCCTGGGTACCTGTGCACACAAGATCCCCAGTCTGAGGCTGGGCAGCACACAGCCCCTCTGTGTGCTGCCCAGTGCATGTTATCTCTGAAATGCTGCAAACTCTTACAGACGGCCTTTCTGTCCTTGCTCTGCAGGTTCAGCAGCTACACGTGGTGAACGAGCACCAGTCATGAGCAAGGATGCTGCCACCATTGGCTGGTGCCCTCCACATGTGCTGCCTCCACCACGGCACACGCATGACTGCACCCTTCTGCTGGACAGACTGGTCACAGTGGCAGGCGGCTCATGGACTCATGGGCTTGGCAAGCCTAGGACCTGGAGCAGGAGAGGGACCAGGAGGTCCTCACTTTCCAGGACAGGCTCCTTGCCTCCTCCACTACCTACCTATCACTGTACTTCTACCCCACTGATCCCCTCTCCCCCTTTTCCCCCTTACAGTTCAGAAAGGACATTGTACATGGTCACACAGGAAGCAGGACCTTTATTGTTGGTGTATGTTGTGGTTAGGGAAGGATGCGTTGCTGGCAGGGAGGGAGTGTGCTGTTGAGGAAGAAGGGGAATCTGTTGCAGGGAGGGCGGGTGTGTTATTGTGGTGGATGAAAATAAAGTTTGGTGTTGGTTACAAACTGCCTGTTGTGTGCGTGGTTTTGGAGTTGCCCTGTTGACGAGGGGTTCATGGGTGGCTACTCAGGCGCCCTACTGCAGGGGGTGGAGGAGGTGGTCCACAAGCATCTCATGGACACAGTGTCCTGTCTGCCACTACCAGAGGAAGGGTGGGGAGCATTCATGTCACACTGGCCACAGGCTCCTAAGACAGCATCTCCAGCCAGGCTGTTCCTGCCCCTCCCAGAGCCCCCTAGTATCTGGGCAGCTGCAGCTCCTTTTGACTGCTGCAGGGGGACAGAGCAGGAAAGGAGCAGGTCTGGATCTGCTACCCCCATTGGGAGCAAATCTGTGCCTGATAGGATACAGGTGTAGACGTGTTCTTAGGGCAAGTTTACTGCATCTTATTTTATTGCTCAATAAGCTTAAGGCACATTAATAGCACATGTAGATGTGTCCATAGCATTAAGAAAATAAGTTATAAGGAGGGATCCTGGTTTTCTCTGTGTTAAAATTCTCAACCTCTCTGATTAACACCGCCAAAATTCTCAATTAAAATGAAATCCCACTGTATATAGGCATCAGTTGAACACAATGTTTTATTGATATATTTGCAATTTGTAAGCCTACCAGTGCCTCAATCACTAAAACGAGTTGCATGCAGCTCTGTCCCACTTCCTGCCAGGGCCCTACAGCCACGCATTCCAGTCCTGGGCCCTAAGCTTCACACGCCCTGCTCCAGCTGGGCAGTAGCCCCAACCCTACCCAACTCCCTCCCTATGGGGTCCTCCGTCCCCACCCTCTCCCTGTGAGACGTACCTGAGGGAGCTGCTCTCCAGGCTGCCATATACATGCACAGGGCACCCTCTGCC